CTCAGTCTCTTCCTAGTTCTGTGCTAACAACTGTCCTGCCTCCCACTATCTTATTTTTCCCATACATAATCAGGAATGAAAAAACTGTCAGGATTGGCTACTGATAGGCAAGATATAATGTTCCAGCTAGATTAGCAGAGAAGGAAAATGCACTCATCTCTGAAGATTTGGAAAAGAAAAAGGTAGCCCAATATAGCACGTAAAGTTAGGTGCATAGATTCCAAACCTTAATTTATGGTAGATGTCAGATCTGACATAGAAATGTATGAAGCACTTGAAATTTAAGCCACTCTCTGAAAAACTGATAAATTTAAAGTACAATAAATTATTAAGGGACAAAAAGTGGTTGAGGACCATCTTTAGGTGTTTATTTCATGTGTGCAGTGTACCACAGATATCTGTGTATAGACACTAATAATCAGCTTTTCTTTATCACCGGCTTTCTGGTCATGCTCCTGTTTTTCTCAAAGGTGATATTTTACAACCATTTTCCCCCTCGAGGGTTTCTGATGGCAGTAACTCAGCCTTTTTCCCATAGTCTGAAATGGAAGTCTGGCTGCAACCATTCTGTATGCATGCAATTACTGTTCCAAATCTCACCTGTGGTTTCATTTTGTTTCTCTTTCCAATCAGAAAATGAAGAGTTTGGCCCAGAGACGCCAGTCTGCACCATCTTTGATCTTTGTCAAAGCACTTAGCAGATCTAGATCGGCCTCAAGGTGAGTCAGTGAGTTTTGCTTGCTGTACTGTTTTGTACTTTCTCAGGCTCATTCTCGAAACTTGAAATGTTTTTGAGTTATTGTCCACGCCGGGCTGTTGAACACAATTCATGCTGCTTGGTAGCTGTACAACTATAAAGCCTGCTGAAAGATGTGACAGAACTCTCATGGGTTTCCCCAGTGCTGCCACACTAAGCTGTTTGTACCCAAGTGGGTGGGCAAAGCTGCTCTGCAATTTGCAACTGGGCATGTGACATTTGGGCTGTTCAGTTGTAAATAGTTTGTGACTGGCTGTGAGTGCCTCCTGGGGAGGTGGCATGGGCAGAAGAAGATGTTCCCTGCTTTTTGCCTTGTATGCTTATGCAGTGCCAGGCATAACTCAGGATTGTTTATTGTGGAACTGTGCAATTTAATTTGAGCTAAGTTTCTTCTGTCATTGCCCGCTGAATGGTACAGGCTCTCCAGGGATCTGGAAGCACCTGCTGACTCAGGACAGTGCTGTGGACCAGGATCTGGTGATCAAGCCTTCTCCTGTCCAGTATTAGCACTTGTGGGGCTGAGCATGTGGGTGTTAAGCATTCAGCATTTTTTGTCCTTGTCCTCTGCCAGAATCAGCCATTCCTCCTCCCTCTGCCAATGTAAAGCTGCCATAGAAATGGGAATTTCTATGGAGCTAGTCCCCTGTCCAGCCCCAGCCCTGACCTGCCATTTGAACCACTCTGCATGCGTAACTTTTGTCTCCCTGCACTACAGTTCATTAGACTTTAAACTTACAAAATGTGTTTATCGAGAAGTGAACCATCTGGCAGGCTGTTAATGCTTCCAGCTGTGTATTGCTCTTTATGAAGAAATGTTATTGAGGGAAATTAGAGTATGGCTTTGTAAGGAATATTTTTTCCTACTCTGTGGTGTGTTAAGTAGTCAGTATATAAGAAGTCAGAGCTTTGGAAAGTTGTTTGTGTTTGATCTAACTAGTACCTGCTTTGATATCATGTAGAACTCCACAGTATTTCAGAAACCTGTGAAAGTACTCTGTGAAAAAAAATGAGAGTTGCAAAATAGGAGAGGCAAATTTCATTTGCCTGCTGGGGTTCAGACATTAACATTTTTCTTTAGTTCTGCTTTTTAATTTGTTTTATTGCCTGCTCCATAAGTATCAGAAATTGGAGATAGCTGGAGAGGCACCGAGTGTGATACACACTCAGTATGTGTGTTTTCACCTAAGAATTTTACGCTTTCTGAAGCGTAAATATGTCTTGCTTGTATAGCCCAGATCAGAATTATTTCTGGTTTGTGAAAGGACTTTTCTTTTAAGGCCAGTTGGCAGAAACTTTGTGGTGAAGAGGACTGTTGCCTTGTTCTGCAGTAAGAGCAATGCTTTGCCTACCTGACCGACCCTGCTGCTTTAATAACTGATGGATGCTGCCTCAATCATGTCTGTCCTCTGTCTGTGGCATGCAACAATTTAGCTGCTCCTGTTGAACTGAAGTCTGTGGCCTTTGTGAGAGGTATTGGTTGAAGTCTGAGGACCCTGAAGTCAGAGCAGGTGGTTTTGTAGCTTCAGAGTCTTTGAATTAGAGGGTGACACTTTGGATGGTGTTTATTATTGTTCACAGGAGCAGCAATTCTCACCTGTGCCTGACTTCCCTGTTTGGCTGTACAAAGCACATGCCTCTTCATCACTGAACTGATGGATGAGTTTGATCTTTCCACTCAGTTTGTTGTGTAAATGCTTAACTCTTGTGAAGTGCTTTCTCTGAAGGAGAGCTGAGAGCAACAAAATGACTTCTCATGTTTTCTAATCTCCTCCAAATGTTTTACCTCAGACCTGTCTCAGCTCTTAGTTCTCCTTCTTGTAGACACAGCCAGTCTGCAAAATCCATTATTCTTCTCTGGCAGTGAACCTTAATACTGGGACTCCATAACACTTACTTGTTAATGGTTGATTAATGACTTGTAGATAATAAAGCTCCTATCTGAAGTTAACAAACATCTGTGAGGGATTTATTTGAATGCTCTCACCTCAGCAGCTGGCTCACCTCAATATTTGTTGAAATTAATGAACAAGTGCAAAGTTTAAAAGGGCAGGAAATACTTAGAAGCCAAGTTGGTTTGTATTTTTATACCACTTTATATGTCAGGTGTCCCTGGTTTATATACAGAGCATTTTCATAAAATGCATTGGCATCTGCTTTGGACAGACTTACTTTGGGGCATTTTAAAGTTTATTAATACTATTTATTCAAAGAAACCATTGTGACATCTGGAGATGTCTATTTAGCATTCAGAGGATTAAGGATTTTGAGTAGTGATGTTGTTGTAGCTGTCATAAGGATGTGACCAAGGCAAGATGATCTAGCTGGAAATAGCAGAGGCTTGTTTTGTGCCATTGTCCTCTTATCAAGTCCTGAAAGAGAAGTAGATCTGAAAATCTTATGTGCTTAAAAGCTTGTCTTTGTTTTCTCCAGCTGTAGCGTTTGGTTTAATGAAAGTTCAGCCTTCCTTACAAATCTTACCTTAGCACATCAACCATATAAAGATAGATACAAGATATTTGACCTGCAAAAGAATTATGGAATGGCTGTGTGGCACATTGATGCATGGATGTCCAATCGTGCTGTAATCCCTGCCTCACTTGACTTGTACCTGCAGGCAGTAGAGGAACATAGTAAATAGTACAGCTATTATAGTGGAATTTGGGCCCTTACACCCAAGAGGTGAAAATATGGAGACTAGTCCATTGCTTCCTGTTCTTGTTTCTCTTCCTTTTTTTCTGCACAGCTTCTTTTTCATCACAAAATTGTGATGAATAGGCATGTAAGGACTGTTCCACATCATCGGATGTCCTCTTTGGAAGCACTTTAAGCAAAGTTATAGTAGAAATACACTGGAAAAGTAAGCTTTTGGTATTTTTCTCAGATACAGGAAAAGTTAATTTGATTGTTTACTCCATTAGTGTGTATGAAATCAGCAAAAGATTTGGGTTAGTTATATTTGGCCCTGGACCTGTTCTGCAGTTGTAATTTTCCTCTTAGTTTTTCTTGGTGTCCTTTAATGAAACCTGCACAGCTTAATGATATAGTTCAGTGCAACACAAATGACAGGCTTGAAACAGAAATGTCTGAGGCCTGGATTTAAAGCATCAGGTATTGTCATCTCAAAGTTAATATAGAATAATAAAGATTTGTTTCAAGTCAGATTTTCAGCCTTTGTTCTGCTGTCCCTCAAAACAATTTTCACTTGTGACAAAACCCAGGTTTTTGGTCTGTGTAGTCAGACTTCTGCTTCCATCTCAGATATTTCACTGGGACAGCCAAACTATGTGCTGCAGTCACTGGCAGCTTCCCCTATTCTATTGCACACCTGACCAGATCACTGAAAGTGATATTTTTACATGCTGAAATTTATTAATATAATTTCACAATTTCTGAGTCTGCACGACCATTTAGAGATCTGTGTCTCTACACAGTAAAGGTGTTAAAATACTAAAAATGAAACAACTCTTCTTTTACACCATGAAGCATATTTATGATGTTATTTTGGTGTAAACTGGAAGCAGAGGCTGTTCAGAAAAACCCTGAAGTATATTTTTAAAAGGTTTTCTGAACAAATTTCTAAAGAACCCCAAAAGGAAGGTCCTAAAATGTCATCCCTACCCAATTTTATTATGTGGCTTTTATGGTTGAAAAAGTGGAAGGTAAAAACTGAGGATTTCACAAGTTTCCAAGGTGTTTTCTCCCCTTTGCTATGTAGAAGTAGTGTTATGCCATTCACAGAGAGGCTGCTCTTCCTTCTCCCAGTGCACAGTAAGTGATTCTGGCATGTTATCTTCCAGAGGTCCTGTGCCAAAGGCTAAATATCCTAGATAACGAAGATCATATGTGTAATCTAGTAATACATTCCACTTGGCGCTAGTCAAATACAGAGTGTTCCCAGAGTCTTGGACATTGTGTTTTCAGGGTTTTAGTCAGAAGACATGTGGATGATCCAAGCTATGTGACTAGAAGAAGACAAAAATAGAGACTTTTAATAAATGTAAATTGCCAGAGGGCTTTTTTATAGGGAAGATGAGTATTTGGTGTTTCAGGCAAAACTGATTGCAGGGAGGAAGGGAATAAAAGCTCATTGCAAGCAACTAGCTTGTTAAGTAGATATTTCGGTTGCAATAATTTTGCTCATTCTTCAGTCACGTCCATGATAGTGAATAATTTTGCCTCACAGTGTGATTTCCTGAGGTGTGTTTGTTTGGTGAAGCTCAGCACCGGTGCACTATGGCACGGAGGGGTGGAGAAGGAGCACCTGCCCCTGCGCCTCACGCCGCAGCCGTTTTTACCGGCTGATACAGGACGAGGCCTTCATGAGGAAGAGGCTCCCCGCCCTGCTCCCTTGTCTGTCAATGCTGAGGTGGGTGTTGCTCTCACACAGCCCCACAGGCACCATGACAGAGTTTGTCAGAGTGAGATCAGAATCAGCGTGAATGGCACCCCCTGCCACGGTCACCACCTGTCAGGCAGAAGAGCGGCACCTTTGGCCAGGGCCGCCACAGCCGGGCTAGTCGATGGTGCCACTGCTGGTGGCTCATAGGGCATGGCTTAGGGTCACCCTGCTGCAGGGCACAGCCCTGGCATGGTGTGAGACAGGTGACACCTCGTGGCTGATTTTGAGGGGCTCTGAGGGGCGAAGGCTGTCATGCTGTGTGTGTGTGCCAGTTTCCATGTGTGTCGGTCTCTGTGTGTGCCGTACAGGTGTGGGGGTTTGCCTCCAGAGCAGCCAGCAGCAGGAAGGAGTGGACTCAGAACCAAGAGTGGGAGTTAACATGGACAGGTACTATTCCAGCCTGCTCCCATTCCAAATGCTGATGCCACAGTTTGGGTGGGAGGGGGTTCCCTTGAAGCTGCGAAGAGCAGGGAGGGGAGAAGCCAATGGGGCAAACGTTCACTTTACGCTGGTGCCTTCGGCAGCAGAGGCAGATTCCCTCTGTTTGGGGCAGTCAAGGCCATGCCCTGCCTTGGGGCTATTCCCTGGTGTGGACCACATCTGCCACACCAGTGATGGTGAGAGGGTGACTGGGATAGCAAGGGATGGGCAGGTAATGCTGGGCACTCACCCACACGACTGAAACGGCATCTCTAAAGCCTCCTCCTGTGCCCCCAGCCACCCAAAAGGTGTGGTCACAAGGGATGAGGCCTCTACGGCACCTTCATTGACCCTTAGAAGAGGCATGCCATGGAAGGAAGTCCTTGCAAGACAAGTCTTCCTGAAGCCACAGGGCTTGAGGTTTTTTGGGAAGCACAAGGGCTGTCACTGTTGTCAGAGTGGTCCTCCAAGATGAAAATCAAAGTGGCAGCACCTCCAGCCCTGTGTCCTCCACCCCTCATCTTACAGTATTTTGTCGGAGAGACTCAATACACTCAAAAATACAGAAGAGCTGTTTTATGAATCAAAGTAAGAAAAAGGACAAAATCCCACAAAATAGTTTCCCAATGTGAGGGATTGAATACAGTCACCACTCATTTTATCTTGATTTATGATACTTTTTCCACAAAGCTCCAGCTAGTCATCAATAAAGAGGGGAAATCCTATTCCTAAAGACTCAGTCAACAAAGCAAATGAAAAACTCTTTGCTTCTGGGTCTAATTTTTAGATTTAATTCACCCTTGAAACAGTTGATCAGAATTTTTAATAAATTTTTTTCATTTCACGAAAGGTTTTGATGTTTTAACATTTTATGCTTAGTCAGAATAGGCAGAAATTTCTTCATGAGAAATTTCCTGGATTTCTCCCCTCAGTATGTCATAAGGTAAGGATATATGAATTTGTAGAAAAATAGTGTTGGGGGGTTTCTTAATTGTTATTTTGTATCAAATTTCTATTCCTTTTTAATGGAACTGCACATAATTAAAAAAACTTGTGATGATATTGTACAAGTTGTCATTTTTATAGTATTTCTAATTCATGCTTGATTTAATCTAATTATGACACTGGAGTATTATTTCCTTAAACCATGTGCTTGAACACAAAACTTATTTTTACCTAATAGTAGCTGGGATAAAATTTTATTAACTGTTAACAAGGAACAAAACGAACTTTCTGAGGCCTCAAATGGCCTTTTAACTTAGAGATTCCTGTCCCTCTGCTGCGTTTTTTCTGTTTTGTTTTGAGTGTGTGTATGTGTACATATGTTGGTTTTTGACAAAACCCCCCAGTTCTTCATTTATGATGTAGAAACTGGCTTATAGTGATCTGAAGATTGAAATGAGCTGCAAATCCTAGAGATATGTTGCTTTTTTTATTAAATGGAAAGGACTAGAGGTAACCAGAAGGAAGCCTCGGAAGCAAGGTATTGAAGTTTAAATAAGGGATTAATTTTTCAATACGTGACTAATAGTTTAACACTAGTGCTTTAAACTGATTCCCTTTGGATAGAGTTTGTGACAGTTTTAAGATCAAGACAGTGAGAGGCACTGCTCATCATGATGAGTGCAGGGCTGTGCTTGTCCAGATGTCTCGGTGTCCACATGTGCTTTTGGCTGCAGACTGTTTTAAGGACTTTCTGGATTAGGCCTTGAGGTCTGGCAGAATGCAGCTGTTGTCCAACCATTGTGTATCCCTGATTTTAGACAACAAAATCTCCGCCAAATGACAGTCTGGCCAAGCAGTTTGGGCAGCAGCATACCTGAGGAAATCACAGACCAACTCCTTCAGACTGCTCTGTGATCATTTATCTTGTGTAAACAAGCAGAAAGGCTCTAATGATGTGAAGGCTGATATGCAGCCTCTGGTGCTCTCACCTCTGACAAGGGTCAGCATTAAATAGACATTGAACACTCTCCCCAGGCTGATACATATTGCTTCTCTTGGTCCAGCTGCTTCCTCGTGTACAAAGCTGCTGGTGAGGCATTGTAATCATATCATGGGAATAACAGTCTGTCTTTAGATCTCTTTTGTGCCAATGTCTTAAGTGTTTGAGTATCAGGGGCTAGATCCAATAAAGGATAATAAGCCTCAAGGGCAAGACATGGTAATAATTTCAGTACCTGAATCTAAAACCATGATTGAAAAAACATCGTCTCAGAGGCTTCCTGACCTCTCAAGTGCCTCTGTTCTTTAGATGCTCTCCTGCTGACCAGAGAGCTCCCAAACACCTGGAATTGTGCTTTTACGCATCCCAGTACAGCATGATTGCTGGCAGCACTGAACAGGTAACTACCATCATAAGGTGTAGGGATATTGGAAATCCTTTAATAGCTTTTTTCCACAGCTCAGATCACTGGCAGCACAGGAACCTCTGACTAACATACCTGAGTAGCTATGTAAAAAACTTGTTGAATAGGTAGGCAGATAGTTCAGAGTGTGAAACAGGTGCGTGTGGCTGCACAGCTATTCATAAGGAATCTGGGTCATTATGCTTGCAATAGCTGGCAACAGCAGGTATATCAAGTAATCTCTTCTCTGTAATAGGATAATTCCTGTGTTGTAGTATTAGTATTAAAATATAGTTTAAAGCCCTTGAGGCAAACCAAAGCCAGATTTGTTCCTGTTACAGCTGGGACAGGTGAAGTGACAGTCCTGTCTTCCATATGGCACCCATATTGGTCATCCCTCTTAAAGAAGTGATCCTTAAAAACTTAAGCCAGTACAAGGGCTGGGCAGATTCTCTCTTCCCGTCTGTGGTGGGGCTTTGTGAAGTTCATCCCACAGTGTCCCACAGTTCATAGAAACACAGAATCATAGGATGGCTTGTGTCGGAAGGGCCCTTGATGATCATCTAGTTCTAACCTTCCTGCTGTGGACAGGGACACCTTCCACTAGACCAGCCCCAATCCAACCCAGCCTTGAGTGCTTCTAGGGGTGGGGCATCCACAAGTTCTCTGGGCAACCTGTTCCAGTGCCTAGGAAATAATTTCAACTAATTATTCAACTAATAATTTCAACTAATTGAAACCTACCCTCTTCCAGTTGGAAGCCATTACCCTTTGTCCTGTCACTACATGACCTTGTAAATAGTCTCTCTTCATCTTTCTTGTAGGCTCCCTTCAGGTACTGGAAGGCTGCAATTAGGTCACCCCACAGCCTTCTCTTTTCTAGGATGAACTATTCCAATTCTCTCTTGTAGGATAGGTGCTCCATCCCTCTAATCATCTTGGTATCCCTCCTATGGACTTGCTCCAACTGGTCCATGTCCTTCCTGTGCAGAGGACCTCAGAACTGGATGCAGTACTCCAAGTGGGGTCTCATAAGAGCAGGGTAGAGGGGCAGAATCCCCTCCCTTGCCCTGCTGGCCATACTGCTTTTGATGCAGCCCAGGATACAATTGGCTTTCTGAGCTGAGTATACATTGCTGGCTCGTGTCAGTCTTTCATCCATGAGATCCCCCAAGTCCTTCTCCCCAGGGCTGCTCTCAGTGCTTCATCCCTCAGCCTGTATTGATATACTGTGGGTTGCCCTGACCCAGATGCAGCACCTTGCACTTGGCCTTGTTAAATCCCATGAGATTCCCGTGGGCCCACTTCTCAACCTTGTCCAGGTCCCTCTGGATGGCATCCCCTCCTTCAGGTTTGTCAACTGAACCACTCAGCTTGGTGTCATCTGCAAATTTGCTGAGGGTGCACTTGATCCCTTTGTCTGTGTCATTAATGAAAATATTAAATAATGCTGGTTCCAATACAGACCCCCGAGGGACACCACTTGTCGCTGATGTCCATTGTGACTGAGCCATTGACCACTACCTTCTGGATGCGACCATCCAATTTCTAATCCATCTGACAGTCCACCCATCAAATCCATCACTGCAATTTACAGAGAAGGATGTTGTGGAGGACCATGTCAAAGGCTTTACAGAAGTCCACTGACCCTGAGATTAGCTCAGTTGGTTAGAGCATGGTGCCAATAACAGTGAGGTTGTGGGTTTGATCCCCATATGGGCCATTCACTTAAGAGTTGGACTTGATGATCCTTGTGGGTTCCTTCCAACTCAGAATATTCTGTGATCTGTCCTTTCAGTTAGATTATATCCTTAGCTCTTCCCTTGTCTGCTGCTGTAATCACTCCATCGTAGAAGGCCACTACGTTGGTCAGGCAGGACTTGCCCTTGGTGAAGTCATGTTGCCTGTCTCAAATCACCACCATGTTCTCAATGTGCCTTAGAATAGCTTCCAGGAGGATCTGTTCCCTGATCTTCCCAGGCACAGAGGTCAGTTTGACAAGTTCTTAGTTCCCAGAGTCCTCTTTTCTACTCTTTTTAAAGATGGGTGCAATATTTCCCTTCTTCCACTCACCTGGGACTTCACCTGACTGCCATGACTTTTTGAATGTCATGGTGAGTGGCTTGGAAACTACATCAGCCAATTCCCTCAGGACTCTCGAATGCATCTCATCGGGTTTCATAGATTTATGTACATCCA